GGTTATACTCATTATTATGTTTTCATTTAAAGCCTATGTTTTAAGTCAAGTAAACCTTAATATAATGTAGACATTTCAAAAGTCTACAATAAGCCATTGTTAAGCTTACCCTGGCAAAATTTCTTTGCAATGTGGACATACATACAGACAAAAAAATGTTTTAAAAGTAGATTTGGTGTCTGTTATGTATGAAACGGAAAGATATCATGAAACGGGTTGATTCTATTCAATGCACAGACAAAATCTTTATTTTTTTTTATGTAGATGGATGTTCTTTAACCTATAAACATATGTTTATTTTTAACATTTATTATCAAGATTAACCGAGATCTCTAGACAAATTACTCAAGAATTCATAACCTTGGTTCTATTTAATATTTTGTTTTCATTTAAAGCCTATGTTTTAAGTCAAGTTAACCTTAATATAACATGAAAATTTCAAAAGTCTACAATAAGCCATTGCTGAGCTTACCTCTGACAAAATTTCGTTGGAATGCGGACATACAGACAGAAAAAAAAATGTTTTAAAAGTGGATTTGGTGTCTGTAATGTATGAAACGGAAAGATATCATGAAACGGGTTGATTCAATTCAATGTACAGACAAAATCTTTATTCTATTTATATAGATGTTTTTTAACCTATAAACATATGTTTATTATTAACATTTATTATCAACATTAACCGAGATTTCTAGACAAATTAATCAAGAATTCATAAGTTGGTTTTATTCAATATTTTGTTTTCATTTAAAGCCTATGTTTTAAGTCAAGTAAACCTTAATACAATGTCAAAATTTCAAAAGTCTACAATAAGCCATTGCTGACAAAATTTCGTTGCAATGCGGACATACAGACAAACAAAAAATGTTTTAAAAGTGGATTTTGTTCTTGAGACAGATTGTAATATTTTTCAATAAATAAGCTAAAAAAAAAAACCAAAAAAAAGTGGATTTGGTGTCTGCAATGTATGAACGGAAAGATATCATAAAACCGGTTGATTCAATTCAATGTACAGACAAAATCTTTATTTTATTTATATAAGGTGTGGGAAGATGTATAAGGAGAGGGAAGGAAGAGAAAGGGTATAGAATGATAATAAATGAATGAAAGAAATAGTAAAAAGAAAAATTATAATAATAATATATATATATATATAAAATATTGTATACTATGCTCATACATATTATTAATCCTATATAATTGTATATTAATTTTAAAAATTGTCTGTAGTGATTAATAAGTATGCTGTGTTGTTAGCAACCCAACGTAATTGGGCAGAACCATTTTATTTTATGATAATAAAGTGATTCTCTCTCTAGAGTGTGAATGTGATCTCTGAGCATTATTATAAATGTCTTATGAGACAGATTGTAATATTTTTCAATAAACAAGTTAAAAAAAAAATTGTTATTTGATCACTGAATTGATACTATTCGCACGGACCAAATAGTTATTAATATTGTTTATTTAACATTTTATAGCCTCCATTGTACTACATTATTTCAAAAGACAAAGACAATATGTCTTAGATAACCTATCTTCGATCGATGGCGCCTACCAGCCGCTATCAGACCATCCCCGAAGAAGGTGATGAACTGTTTAACTAGTACATTCATTGTAACCAGATGGCGCCACTTCTTCGGTATGACTCGGAGGAACTGTGGCAAGACATTGTGAGGAAGTGGCGCCCGTCTGTCCCGTCTCAAATTCGTACAAAATAACCATTGTTTGTTTGACGCAGAACAATATTTTGTTGTTTACAATTCTGTAATTACGCATGGCGCCATTTCAAACTAGTATTGGCTGGGTGAGGTAATGTCGAATTTCTAAAACAGTAGTAGGCCCGTGCGAAAAATTCGAACAGCATATTGTTATCAAATGCCCATTTAATAAGAAAATAAAATAATGCAACCTATCAAATAATGCAGGTAAAAACAAAATAATTATTCGATGTTTCGCCACTTCATGCATCATCAGGACAGAAAAGAAAGTATATCTCATCCCTCCACGACATCCAAATACTTACTATAAATATGGGGACTAGAGCTGTACACCGTTTATTATAATAAAATATAATAAACTGCTTATTTTTCTTTCTTTATCTGTTCGGATGCCATAGAGTGGTGTGATATTGTTTTTTCTACCTGATACTTTATTGGAGTCTGTTACTAGGTAACAGATCCACACAAGTATCAGTATAAATTATTAGCTGGACCGTGTAATACACATAAAATATAGTTTTTTCGTTTTGTAGGGAATTTAGTAAATTTTCAAATAATAATGGGTCTAATCAAGAAAAAAATGTATATTTTTTAAGTAATTCTTAAATCAATTTTCTTTTCATTCATATTATTATTCATAAATTTGAGGTTCGTTCAGGTTTAAAACAGGGGGATTCCCTTTCGCCTGTCCTGTTCAATTTGGCATTAGAACATGCCATTAGGGAGGTAATGCGTACCGAGAAAGGGTTGGATCTGGGTGGGACAACATCCGTGCTGGGCTATGCTGATGATCTAGTACTGTCAAGCGAAGACCTTGAAATTATAAAACTAAATATGAAAACGTTAATGAAAGCCGGTAAAGAACTAGGACTCGAAATAAACGTGATAATAAATATGGTTAGCTGCAAAAATGGCGATACTACTGGTGATATCGATATAGATGGTAATATGTTTGAACAGGTAGATAAGTTTAGGTATCTAGGTTCTACGATAACTAGAAAAAACGAAATTGAAGAAGAGATTAAGGTTAGACTGAAGGCGGGAAATGCTTGTTATTTTTCTGTGACAAAACTACTTAGTTCGCGCCTCTTGTCCCGAAACTTAAAAATTAGAATCTATAAAACAATTATCTTGCCTACAGTTCTTTATGGATGCGAAACTTGGCCGCTTACATTAAGGGATGAGCAGCGTCTTAAGGTTTTTGAAAATAAAGTATTGCGTAGAATATTCGGACCGAAGAAGGATGAGTTAACCGGAGAGTTCAGACGGTTACACAACGCCGAATTGCGTGAACTGTATCCGGGTAATATAATTGAGGTAATTTCATCGCGGCGAATCAAATGGGCTTGTAAAGTTGTTGGGCTTAGTAACGAGAGAATTCCTAAAAGGTTAATATTTGCTGTGCCGAATGGTAAGCGTCCGAGGGGTAGACCGAAGCGAAGGTGGGAAGATTGCATTAAAGCCGATCTGAAGGGATGGGTTTGGACGGCGAACGGTGGAGGGAGGTGTGCAATAAGCGATTGGTGGTGTCGGCATCGATCCTTCGGGCTCGCTAAGCCTTTTTATTATTATTATTATTTCATTCATAATGTTTTTCCCTGAAATTTCGGGTAGATGTTACTGATGTTTCGTCACTGCTTTATTTAATACCCTTTCGTTTGATACATATTCATCAAAATACATCGGTCCTGAGAGCCGGAAAAGGAATCGTTAAGGAAAAAAACTGCCGTATTATATTATAAGATAAGTGAAAATAATTATAAACCAAATCTAAAATTTATTCATAAAAATTTAATTTTGCATACGTACTAAAAAATGATGAACGAACAAAGAGGTTGGCCGATCCTCGTAGCTCGTACAAGTTAAAACTTCGTAGAACGGCAACACTGATAAAAATCTCTAATAAATTTAGTAACCCATGGCAACGACGCCTTATCCCGGCCATTCAGTATCTTAATTTTTAAAATGTTTAAAATTCGACAGGAATGCCTAAGAATTTAAGGATCGAATTTGAAATTCGTCATTTCTCCATGAAATAATTTTATGTTGGTACCTAATTTTCATAATACATAGATAATGAGAACTCTATACTACTAAAATATATGTGTGTAGTCCTCAAGAACTGTCTAGACTTACATAGACTGACACATATCTTATCAGTAATATGAGAATTATGTACTTCAGGTAGAAGCAGGCCTGGAAATAAAATACTTTCTTATCCAGACCATAGACCTACCAGAGATTATGCAGAGAAAAAAATAATCCTCTTAACTTTTATAAACGATAAGAAAAGGATTAGAATATGATCTGAAGATATAGGAGTTGTTAAGAGGACTAGAAACAAAAAAAAAAAACGAAAACAAACGAAGGCATATGCATATACATATACACAAAAGTGCAGTAATGTATTCAGGATTTTTCTACAATAAATACCTCACATAGGAAGTAGTTACTAAAGAGAAAAAATACAAATAGAATAAAAAATAATTTTATTCTGGAACGAAGTCGCTTAAGAATAACAGAATATTAAAGAAAAAAAAAGGATAACATCTGACAAGAAAACTTGTTACATTAAAAATTAGCTAGAAAAAAAGCTTTAAGTAAATAAACTATATTATTATTTTTTTATTAATTCGCCATTTGACCACTTAACAATACACTGTGCGAAATTTTCGTATTGGTCTTTACTTATTGTGGTTACAAGAAATCTTTAACAATGTTTCTCAGTTCAATTTCAGCTAATGTCAGGATAAAAGTTGTAATTATAACCTGTATCAAAAACTGTCATCGTCAATAAATATTAAAATTTATGAAGTAAAAAAATTTTCAAAGGAAATAATAACGAAAATAAAGTAGCACTACTCAACAGTAGTCATAGTTTTGAGAAGAAAAAAAAGAAACGAACAATTTGACCCCTTAACGGCAATTGTTTTCAAAATATGGTTTCAAAACAGGCAAAGAAATATCCGGAGATCTTGAAGTTAGTAATCTGGTAAATAAAACGAAAATCAATAAAATTTTTACTAGGAGATGCAATTTTTATGACAAAAAAAACATGACAACATTCAACTTGTTTTTCAATGTTTTTCAACATTTTCAGTTTTCCTAGATAAGAAGGTTATGTTGGTTTAATTTAAAACACATGTGCTTATGTTATGATCAGACATTGAATTGTAAACGTTAACATGCTTATAAATTCTTTATTAAATAAATAAATTTTTACTTTATTGTTTTCAAGATACTTGTCTTTAAATAATAAGATATTTCAAGTTAGATTATGACGAATAATAAACAGTTACTAGTAATGGGTCAATAACAGTTACTAAAAATAACAGTTATTGATTAAGGGCCGAGGTAAGGGGATACGTCAGTCCAAAAATCAGGAGCGTTCTCTATTTTGACTAGTTCTGTATAACCAAGGTTTTCACCAACTTCCTCGAAGTAGTTGCAAGTCCGAGGACCGACGCCTTCGATCGAAGAAGAATATGGCGGCGCTAGGACATCGACGAACGCAGCACCATCTTCTTTCGCTTGAAGCTCGTGGATGTTACCTTTACTCGGGGTCAGAAGAACAGCTGGGTCTTTTTCGGTGAGCGTCCTCTCGGGTTCTTTTACGGTCAACAACCTCTCCATTCCAAGAGTGGAGAACCCTTCAGCGATGAGGGAGAAGTTCTTGATGTTCACTTTTCCAGAAACCACCTTACATATCCCATGCATCGCAGGGTGATCGTGGAGGGGGAGTTTGCTTTCCGGCCTCAGGACGAACATGTTGATCACATATTTGGTCGTCTTCAGGATCTCTATGTAAGTGACAGGAGCCAATCGATGAGCCTTCAAGAGACTCTTGTCTAACTTGACGTCTTCGGCAGTGAGCTTGTCCATGACAGATAGAAGATTTTTCAAATTTTTTTCAAAATTTTCTCCCTTGTTCGGGCCATTGGAAAATGTCTGAAACACTCGTTCTCGAATTAGTTCAATTCTAGGTATAATTTGAGATGAAGCACGCATACTGGTATTAGATTGAAAAAACATTATGTAACCCAACCTATAACATATAACCACTTAAGGAAGGTATCTATAATTTTAATCCCCATAGAGGATAACAAAGTTCACATGAGAAAAATAAACTATTTTTATTTGTACGCTTTTACTAAAGACGAACATTATCACGAGAAATTATTCTAATGAATTGTTAATAAAATGAATTTGAGCCTCAATAGAATTCAAGCGATAAAGAATCTATTTAAGATTAATACCACTTTTGAAATAATAAATAAGGTTTATATTGAAATAAATATGCGTCTGTTGGGTTATGGTGGGTAGTGGGTATATGGTCTGAGTCTGCAGAACAAGATACTATCGAATATCCTTTAGCCCTACTTTTTAAACAAAATAATTTTATTCAGAGAAGACAAGATGAGAGAATAATCGGAACGATGTTTTTCTTATTTTATTCATCATATTGACCAAAATACAAGCATCTGTATTTTTAGTTGCATCTATCATAACCTTACATAGGATAACTGAAATCGTTCAACATTTTGCTAGTTATTTAACACATTAGGTTTTTGACAAATTTAGTAAAAATCAGCGTTGGTTGACCGAGGTTTTCCACCATTACACTTTTCCTATTTATTAGGTTTAGATACTCCTTCGACGCGCAATTTAACGTTCTTTAATATATTAATGAATACATTTTTCGCTTTGATGCATCGTTTGGGAGCTATGGGTGAAAAAACAAAAAAAGATCGAAATAATCTGGCTTTTTTGGCTATAAAAAGTTTTTCCTTGGTGGCCACGTCAGCAATTTTATTTTTACACATCTCGACCATTTTTTTTTTTAATTTTTCACAATGAATTTCAATTCTCAAATTACAGGCCTAATATTCTTTAAATCAGCCGGCATTTTTTAAAGCTGTGGCTCTGGAACGTCAGGCCTTAGTCATTTTTCTCATGTTTTGACAAATTTGGTAAAAATCAGCGTTGGTTGACCGTGGTTTTATTCCTTACCACGTCACCAAATTATAAAGTTTATATAATCGTTCAACGCATAATTTAAGGTTCTTTAATTTATTAAAAATTACATTTTTTTTTCTCTTTAATGCATAGTTTAGAGAAAGCGTAGCCACTTACGGATCAAAAGTCTGGACACTGACAAAAAAGATGGAAAATAAGTTGCTTTCCATGGAAATGGATTTCTGGAGAAGAAGCTGTGGCATATCCAGAATCGAGCGGATCCCAAACGCAGCAATTAGAGACAAGGTTGGATGTCAAAAGAACATCCTTCACCTGATCGGGACCAAACGGTTAAAGTGGTATGGCCACTTAATGCGGATGGATGAGAACCGCTGGCCAAAGAAAATTTATAACTATGTGCCACCTGAAAGAAGGAAGCGTGGAAGGCCAAAGAAGAAATGGATAGAGGACGTGGAGGAAAGCATGGCAGCCAGAGGGCTTCGTGAGGGAGATTGGATGGACAGGGAGCAGTGGCTTTTGGGTATTGGGGATATGACTCCTTGAGTTGTATAAAACCCAAATAATAAAAAAAAAAAAAAAATGTATAGTTTAGGAGAAAAAACAAAAAAAAATTTTAAAAATCTGATTTTTTTGGCTGATAAAAGTTTTCCCTTAGTGGCCCACGTTAGCAATTTTGTTTTTTATATGTCTAAACCCTTATATACATATTAAAAAAAATTCTTTTCTCAATGGATTTTCCGTTTCAATCCTCAAATTACTGGCCTAATATTATTTAAAACAGCCGCCATTTTTAAATGAAGCGGCTCTGGTACGGCAGACAAGATTCTTTTTACTTAGAATAACACACACTTTCGTAATTTACAATCGAACCTTCGCCTGCGATCAGTTCGAATTTTGGGCCCTGGTTCTAGGGCTATCTGGGGTTGGCAAAAATAACTACAAGGCCCATTTACAGGTACCAGCACCAGTAGTAAGGTTGAAGTTAAGATCTTCTTGGTTCAACTGTCGCGATGTGGTCTAACGTTCCCTGAAGATTTCGAACTATCGATATAACGCCAGATAAGCCTGTTACAATATTTTTCATTAATAGAAGTTCCTTGTCAACAGGATACAACGCAGTAGTTTCCGATGCAAACGACCTCTTTATTGGAATACTGCGAAGAAAAAACACTTTGATGGTAGTAATTATATTAAAGGAAGAAAACAAATTACCGACACGCTAACAAACAGGTCTGTTACATCACAGAGCGGCCTCCTTGATCAATGGGTGCGTACTACGAAGTGGATAAGAAGCGACATCTTGTTTAAATATCGATGAGCTTCGGAAGTGCGTAGCGGCCTCCTAAATACGCAATCTCTGGTTAGACTGAACTCAGCGTTCTTAGGCCGAGTTCGTCTGAGATAATCGATTATTAGTTATCTGGTTAGCAGTGGTGTATGTATTAATAATATTCCGTACTCTCTTAGTCTCCACTGGTTTCCCATCCCAGTGATGCGGCTGAGGCACTGGGATCTCTTGGAGTCTTGCCTTATCTCCCACACGTGGAGAAAAGGGCCCGACTCGGAGTTCCCAAGGCTGACTGTAAATATTGTAAATAAGTATGATTTTTTTTTTTTTAATTTTATTTATTCATTTTTTTACTTTCCTACCTATACTAGGTAAGGAAAGTATTGCGATCAGGTCAAATTTCCGACATGCGGTTTTCAACGGATCTATACGTTTCACAGTCCCCTCAGTCCGAAAAACACATTTTTAGCCATTGGTCTGTCTGTGCCAAGATTTTCTCGGGAACTATTGAACCGATTTTGTTGCTTCTTTTTTTATTTTGTTGGATTTTGACTACTAATGCCTATATCTTATAAATGAAAAACATGTTTTTCTATAGACTATAGCGTGAAAACGATTTTGATGAAACTTTTCTATGATGTTCTAATCATTGTCCTTTCAATTTTCATATACAGACTAAATTCCCGAAAAATTCAGAAAAAAAGTTATAAAGAAAAGAAAAATGTTATGTGGCCTAAACTCCCTAAGTATATATTATACGGTAAAATTTATAATAAAACTTTTGAAAGGTATTTAAATTACCAACAAAGCCATATAAAAATTGTTCATTTTGGACAACTATTAATGAGGTTACAGCTATTCAATTTCCAATGTAAGATTACCAGTTCATATCATCGTGTCAGAAAGGAGCGAATGAGAGAACAAAGATGACTAAGTGAAAGTAAGAAAATCTGTTGCCTGCATCAAACAAGCTACACTATTTGCTCTACTTTTAACAGAAATTCTTTGACAATACTAAGCTATGGCAAAAAGTTTTTGATCAGCAATATTAGGAAGTATTGAAATTTTTACACTGACCAACCTTAAGTCGGTTTCATTGCTTTAGTTTATGAAATAAATCGTACTCAAATCTTTTGTTTGATCAATTTTCAGAAAAATAAATTTAGTTTAATTGTTTTATGTTTGTTCATGAACATATGTAAAGATATAAATACTTTTCTGAAATATATAGGAAAGTCGTGTGAGTGGACACACCAGATATTTTTATACATTTTATTTATTCATTTTTTTTTTTTTACATATAATGTTGTCTCGTACTTGATTTATTCTGTTATTTCAAGTTTTCTTTTCTTTTCTTTTGTTATAACTTCCTATTGTTTTTATTTTATTGTATTTATGTGAGGATTGTTTCATACATACCAAAAACTCAATGCCCTTAATTGAGGCAAAATGTTTTTTTTTTCTCAATAAAAAAAAAACAATATTTCCCAAGTAATACTTAGATCTGAAATGGATCCTTATTCTAGAGATTTAAGACGGAAAATCTCGAAGCTTATCAAGAGGTAAGTCAGGAGGTATTCTCTTCGGGGAAAAGAATATACATGTCCGAACATTCTCTAATATTATACTCCGTACCTAGATTATGAGTTAAAGGAGGAAGATTTATTTAGAGCTCCTTAAAAGAACAACAGAGACATCCTCGTCCGATTAAACAAAATTTGTTTTTTTATCCTTTAACCTTGACAATATTACAATGCCTCTACCATGTGGCTAGGGTGGCCCGGCTCTTTCAAGGGCGATGGCCCCAATCCAAGAAATTTTATTGGTCTTCTCTTCTTAAAATCAATGTTGTAATTGGTTCCACGTTTTTCCTTTCTTTCCATATTCTTCATTTAGAACCTCCCACAAATCAAACTCCACAAAAATATGGTTACCCACGAAAATTCATAAACCTGTCAAAATTTATATATATATATATATATATATATATATATATATATATATATATATATATATATATATATATATATATATAAAATTCAACATTATTCATCCTTATCTACATTCAAAACCCTCCTATTCCAATTCCTGTCCCAAAAACAGTCAGACACCAGCTAACCTTTTATATAAAATTACATATTATCTATAAGAACATATTCACATATAGCTCATAACCTAAATACTTATTATAGATTCGAATTCCTTTTTTTCTTTTTCTTTTTTTTCAACAGAAACAGATTTTACTGTTAAGAAGAATTTACATTTATTTTTTCTGTATTTTTTATTTTTTCTAATAGGGTTTATTTATATTTTAACATTGTACATAGTTTTAAGTATCTTAGTATGGTTTCAAGAGTTCTTTATATAGATTTTTTTATTTTATTTTGTATATAGTATGTATAACCAATATATTTTTTTTCTTTTTTTTAATGATCTATCTTTATCTTAACTTTTTATGTTTGTTTTTATCTGGCCAGATATGAAATTTTAATTTCTGTACTTTTTTGTTATTCTGAAGGGACTTCGTCCCAGAGTAAAATTATTTTTCTATTCTATTCTATTCTATTCTATATATATATCCGTAAAAATGTGCTCCCTTCAAAAATTTTGACCACACAACTTGCCGCTTCTGGTCATCCATATTAAATTAAGAACACAACGAATGGGTTTATTGGGGCCGTGAAAAATTTCGAATCCAGGTTTTAAAAAAATGAAACTCTATTGAAATGCATGTTAATAACCAAGTCTTGCAAAAGGTCAGTGTCTTGGTGTACGAGAACAACCTAGCTCAAAAACGTTAAGTTGTACAAAACTGAAACAACTTAATTAAGGTAGACATATTCCTAGGATGTTACTGAAAATCTTTCTTCAAATCGATTAACCTGAAATTTTACTTTATACAATCGATTTTACACATTTTTACTATTTTTTTTAACTATATAAATCAAATTCATAATGATGTAGAGATGGTTTACCGTGATATAATATGAGAAGGAGTTGATCGGGGGGCGCGGTCAAATAAATACTAAATTATACAAATAGTATT